GAAAGTTTAGAAGTCGTTGCTTTGGGCTGTCGTTGTTGCTGAAATAATTTCATCAAGACCTTGCAGTGATGTCCTAACCAAAGGACTCAGCCTTTTTTTGTCAAGGACACCAGCGAAATCACTGCCAAAAAAAATCAAAGCTGCTGCCACGTTTTCATTCCGATATTTCAGCAGTTGACATCTCATGTGTTATAAGTCTTACAATTGCGAAGAAGAAGAAAAATCAGATAACAAGTAACAGGTTTTATCCAGATACACATTTGGGATTTTTTGAGTGAGACTACATTTTGAACATCGAAGTTCACTGAGAGTGAAGATTAATTTGCTACTGGGAATAAAAATTGGAGGTGTTTGTGTGAAGTGCTCATCAGATATGAATGAGGCCTCTAATCACATGTTTTTCTCTATGTGGGTTTTCAGGTGTGGCTTTTATTACGCTCTTCCTCCAAACAGCAAGAATGGAACAGTTTCTGTTATCCACATTAAACTGGTTACTTTATAGATCTCACTAGAAGAAATTTTATGCTCAGCAGATCAGCTGCACATTTTCCTAAAACTTTCAGCCTGGAAGAAACATACTTAGGTGAGGTGTATGTGGTGTTAATATCTGAAAACCTCAAAGAAGCCTTCATGTCTGACTTATAAAAAACAAACAAACATCCTTTTAAGTAACATGATGATCAGCTGAAGAAAATTTATACTATGGCCTCATTATCGTCAGAACTTAGCATGGCAAATCTTGTGGAAGATAATAGAGCATCTTTAAAGTGCCTTCTTTGCCTTTTTTTTAGCTGTGATGCAGATATCTCATTTTGCCAGCTAGAATTATTTTTGTTGTTCTTTTCAAGCTGTATTAGCACTTTTTTGGCTTCTGCAGTTCTATTGCTCCTTTTCTCTGATCTTCTCAGACCTATGGTGCTGTATTTTCCCTTTATTTTTCCCTTTTCAAATGCGTGTTTTCCATATTTTGAGGAGATATCTGGGTATATCAATGAGTCTGGCTTTCTTTGCAAAAAATAAAATTGCTTTTAAAGGTCTGGATTTTATTTTATATTCACATTTAGATTTTTTTTTCACATCTGTTTCTTTTTTTGCAAGTAGTCTGAGGGAATCGCTTTGCTTACTTTTTTTTTTTTCCTTTATAAAAGCACTCAAATTCTGTTCCTATTTATTACAAATATTTTCATGTTCAGCTATCTGCAAAACAAAATTCATCTGCAACTCATTCCTGTTTCAGAAAAGAAGAGACAGAGGGTTTAGGAGGCAGACAGGAAGTTGTGCCCTTTTGACCCACAGGACTAAGAGGAAGGTTGGAAGGAAGATGATAAAGAAAAAGCAAAGGAGGAGGTGACTTGTATGCACAGCTCATAGATCTTCTAAGTTTTAAGTTATCCCATTAGGAGGAACAATGTGGAAACACTGTAGTCTACTACTGCTGACTTTTTCTCACTGTCTCCTAAATCATAACTTGGAGATAGCTATTCCAGCACATTTCATAGAGAGGCTTTCTCAAGCTTAGGTTTTGTGATGCTTTCAGGAGCTCCTGTGTGAAATTAGTGTTTCGGAACACAAAATGCTTTTGCACAGATGTGCCAGTCCAGGAAATGCACATGACAGTGGAGGCTTCATCTACTCAGATACTTGGGAGTGTGATTTCTTTTCTGTACCTCTCTCTTCTTCACTCTTTCTCATTCTTGTTAGCTGCATACTTCTCTATCTTGCAGCTCTTTCTCTTTTTTTCTTAATTATATTTATTCTTTTTACATCTTCCCAGCTCTCTTGGTAATCTTCCAGTTCCTGTTGGAAAGGAAAACAGGGCAAATCTTATCTTTTTTTCCTTTCGGCAGATGAAAATTGAGAGGATGCAGGCAGAGAGACACAGAGAGATGGAGAGAGACGGAAGGAAAGAGCGCTGCTGCTATCGGAGCCTTCTCTGCATTTCCCCTTCTGCAAGAGATTATCCTTGCAGAGCACTGCAGGATACTGGGGACTAGGAACAGGATGGGACTCTGAAACTCTGCCTGAAATAGAAAACAGGTAACATAATCCTCCTTTTTTCCCACAGGAACCTGAGGATGAATGGGTGTGCTCAGCAAGTGTGACAGTGAGGCAAGAAATTAAAAACAGAGTCCCATGTAGTTCCCACACAACAAGCTTCAACAAGAGGCTAAAAGAGAAAAATGAGCAGAGATATCAAGAGTTTGTTTTATACATCTCCTCAGGGAAAGGCAAGGAGTGGTGCTGGTCCCCTCCTGTGTTGCCCAGAAGGTACTGATGGCCAGTAAGACAACTCACTCCCACCACTGCCAGTTGTCAAGAGGATAGGATGGGGGCAAGAAGACTTGCTGTCAGGGTATCCCTTTACCCCTGCTGGCTGGGACACCTGAGAGCAGAGTCCTCTTGAAACCTCGGAATAGGCAGAAAGGCCCAGCCAGTAATACAAAACAACAAATATAAGTGCCTGTCTGTAAACTTAGTGAGGTATTCAAAGTGACACCTTGTGCTTTGCCACAGATTTCTCTCAATGAGTCAAATGTCTTATACAAACAAATCATGAGCTGCACTTGCCTTTAATTAGAACTTCTTCCAAACATATCAGATGATTGAACTTGTGAGCCTTGCATTTATTAAACCAACCTTTCATTCACCCGTTGGATTGCCTCGTTATCAGAGCTTTCATTTTCAGGCACATACACCAGACAAATTTAAGTTCAGCTGTGATGACACTGCAGTAAGGTTGAAGTCAGTCTGGTCTCTTCAGAATCATGAAATATGTAGCCAGGTATAATAAGCCTGCTTCATACTTGTATGGATAAATGTACACGAGTTTCTCATAAATTCAGTGAGTTTGTACTTGTTGATTATATTTGACAGCTTTTACATATACTTGTCTACTTAATGTCTTCCCAATACATATGTCTTTTGGCAATGAATAAAATGTAAAGCTGCCGATAAGCTGAATTGCATGTTTCCACTTAAATCTGCATTCCTTGTTGAGCTCTCCTGTTGGTTTTCTTAAGAAATGTCCCAGTATTTTGCCTACCATGTTTGCAGTATACCTGTACTTAATGCTCTTTCATTTCCTTTGTCTAGCACAAGACGCTGTTATTCCACAAAGTCCCAGGGAGAGTGGGAATAACAGAGGAAAAAAACGTTAATTTAGGAAGTAAATCTGCTCAGCGTTTTATCCCAACATCCTGTCCTCCTGCTGCTTTTTATATGACCTTTTGCACTGCACAGAATTCATTACTATTGTAAAAAAACATGGTTTTGTTTCTTAGAAAATTTCGAGAAATATGTGATCTGTTTTAAAGTAGACAGGATTCATAAGTGGCAAAAATATGAATTCTTCCAAATCCTTTTCCTTCAGTATCAGCTCCACAAGTTTGCTAATTAGACCCACTAAGCAAAAACACCTCAGCAATAACACAGTACAGAAGGGATGGAGAAAACTTCATTATTACAATTTTATTTACTATTTCTCTGCAGGACAGCACAGGAACCTTAACCAGGTCAAGACTTCATTGTGTCAGGTGCTGTACACAGAAAAATAGCAGTTCCTGCTCCAGGAAACATGAAATTTGTGCATGTATTTATAGCCAAGCTTGTGGCCCCATGGTAACTCATTTAGTGATTACCTCCACAAATGTTAGTGTAGGCACCCAGAAACATATTTTGCAGGGTACAAACATCTGTGGTTTCCCTGAGGCTGAAGCCCGGTGTATTTTCCCTTCCACAGAAGTGTAATAGGGCCTTAGAGTAAATGGAGTGGAATAAGACCCAAAACGCTTTGTGTTCTTTAAATGAAAGGCACTTTATACATACACGTATGTTTACTGAAAGGCCTTTCAAAGAGGCATAATTATGCAGGCATCTCTGTGTAATTCGCCTGGGTCAATGCTAATGTTGGAAAGTACTTATTCTGTGGGTCAGACGAATTACTGCAGTGCTCAGCCCCTGGCCTATGTGTATGTAATAAATCATTCTGCAGAAGAACTTGACTAACCTGTATCTGTCCTAGCTTTTTTAACTGCAGACCACAAACACTGATAGAACCTAAAATGTTTTACTCAGTCTAGACTGAATGGGGAAATGGAAGCTCATGCTGCGTGGTCTCTTCAGGGATTACTTTCTGCTCCTTCCAGAGAGGCAAAGTCTATGCATGACACCAGAAAGAACTAATTGCATACAAAAGCAACAAATGCTAACTGTCCCAAATGCTTCTTTAAAAATAATTTGGGAATAAAGTAGTCAGGACTCTGTGTGTGCTTTCAGGTCCACAGGGAGTTTGGGAGACTCTGAAACTGCCAGGCTGACTGCCAGTCCACCGGCCAAAGCAGCAGGTGGGACAGCACTGTGGCCTCTCCTGTCTCTTCCTACATGATACTCTGCTGGATGAAATGGGCCACAGAGCTGCAGAAGATGCCATTAGAGATGTGTCAAGCAGGGTCCAATGTCATGCTGGCCCCAGCATCCTTTCCTGTGCCATAGCTTCTGGCAGAACAGCCGTGCAGGAAAAGCCACCTGGCCATCCAGCAAATCTGCAGCATGAATCCTTTGGTGAGGATCACATTGCTGCCGTAAGACCTCTTCCTGCAGCCAAATGCAGTGAGAGGAGGGACATCAACCCACTCCTCCAGAGGCAAGGTGTCTGGGAGCTGGGGCAAGAGGGACTGCTTGGCTGCTGCTTTCCCCTCTCTCCACTGATGGCCGCTCCTCTCCTCCCCCAGCACTGGACATCTCCGTGCCACTGGGACAGTGAGACCCTTCTCACCTCTGCAAGAAAGCTGGGTTTCCTATTTTGCTGGCATTGCATTAAAGATGGCAGCCGAGGGAATCAGAAATATCCTTATAAGTGATGCCAGGAGGCCACTGCCTGCCAGTCTGCAGGAACCTGCAGGGAACACTGAGGCAGGAGGACCAGCAGAGAGGATCCCCCAGGGACTCCCTCACAGCTCCAGGCCTTCACCATGATCCTTTTTCCACCTCGTCTTTTTCAGATGTAGTGAAGTGCTGGGATTTCACGATCTGAAAGCTTGTTCAGCTTGGGGAAGGTGGGAAGGGGAATACATCACGTTTCAGTCTCACTCTATTAGCAAGTCCAAGAACACCATTGGAGAGGTACGGTCTCCATCTAGAGCCACAGTGTGGGCCTACAGGCCATGGCCAGCACACAGATCTCTCTGGTGGTTTTACTGCCTGCCCATAGATGGGGTGTTGTCACCATCGCCCTTTGTTGTGGAAATCACATCTTCTACTGAAAACAGAGTCACTTTCTTGCTCTGAGGAGTGCAACAAAATGTTACTCTGGTGTGACTAAAAATGTTCAGGAGCCAGAAGGCAAATCAAAGCAACTCCAAATGACACTGTTTTTTTTTTTTTTTCTTCCCTAAGAAATCTCCAGCCCAAGGAAAAACCCAAGGAAGCCTCATGCATGCATGTTTTCTACAACAGTAAGGTGGGCCGCACTGTGAACCATGCATGGGGTGCGGTGGCTTTCACCTTCCCTGAGGAGAAATACAGCTGCTGACTCTGCGTGCTGAGACAGCAAGGCAGGGGGCAGAGCCACATGCAATGGAAAGCTGGCTGCCCTGTTGGGACTGATGGATGCTCAAAGCAATGGGAACACTCAGGGCTTCACCTGGCTTCCAGCTCGGAAAACGTGCAGCGGAAATGGAGACACTCCTCTAGCCAACTGTCCCTTTTTCCTGTGAGCCCCTCTGGCCTCCCTGAAGACTTTTCTGAGAGTCCTCAAAGCGATTGTTTAAGGGCAGTGCCAGGAACAGTGGAAAATCCTCCAGATGGCAGAGCTCCACCCAGAACAGGAGCACTCCATCGGTGTCCTCCCAGCCGTGCTGCTGCTACTGGTGCCAGTGCCGTCAGCCACCACAGGGGCCCCTCACGCTACGGTGGAGCTAGAAGCCAAAGGCAGGAATTCCTGACTTGGCTGACCTGAATCCAAATGTCAGAGATTAAGCATGAAAATAAATAAATAAACAAGCAGTTAACTCTTTTCAACTGAGTTAATAACAAGTGTTTTCGAGGCTTGTCTGTCTGTCTGGCAGCAGGAAGCAAGGCCCCAGCATAGTTGTTGAGACGCCGTTTTCACGTGTTGTCTTGGCCTGGAAGGGTCACAGAAACAGCACAACACTGGGGCTGCTCAGTCATATCAACACAAGCACTGAGTGCCCCTTCCCCCCTGCTTGGGGCCAGGGTTGTGTTCCCAACATGGGAAAGGCTTGAAAGGGTTACCAGGCTGTGAGAGGGAAGGGTGGGGAGCGGAAGGCGAGGGGGAACCGCGGTACTATTACAATCGTCAGATCAAGTCACAGGGTGGAGGAGGATTTTCCAGATCCTCTGACCTTAAGGTTGGGGAGTGAAAGGAAGAGGAAGCACATTTGCACAGATCCTCTGTCAGAGCTTCCTCAGGGAGGGGCTCAGTCCTCCTGGCCCTTTGCTACATGCGGGGCAATACGCACACATAGGCACAGCTAAATAAACACAGGAATGAAGTTCAAAGTAGACCCCCAGGAGAAAACCTAATCTATGGGAACCTTTTATTAACACTTAAGTTCAGCAGCCCCTCATATCTTAAACATTAAGTGTTTAACCAGCCTTAAATGAAAACATTTACTAGGTACCAGGAATACCTTGCAGTTCTACAGCACTTTCTAAGGATTTCCAATCACCTTACAAGCCATTAAGCTTGATTCTACCTTTGGGTAGGCACTTTAGAGGACTTAGGGGAGTAGGGAAATTGAGGTACAAAAGGTAAATTAGCTGATGGTCTCACCCGGTGACTGTGATAGAGATGGGCGGAGAGATCTGGTTCCCCATCTCTTACTTTGTACCTCATCCACTGAAAACAGTGGGCATTTTAAAATTGATTTTAATAGGCTTTGACTTAACCTCTTCTGCCACAAAGACATCATCAGTTTGTTTTATAGTACATCTCTGTTGCAGAAACAGATGCTTGAATCCTCAGCTTATGTTTCTGAAGCATTTTAGAAATAAGCACAAGAGGATATCCCTCATATCCCCATTTTACTTTTTTTTTTTTTTCTCAAGAAGTAATCATCAAAAGCAGCAAGTCAATTAAAAATACAAACAAATTTCTCTCATGCTTTTCTCCTTCTCCCTTGTTTTTCCTCTTGGCCTTTTTTTTTCCCTCCTTGTTTTGTTTGCAAGCTACAGGAAATGTTCGCATGGGCCATTTTAGATTAGACAGAGCATTCAGTCATTGCGACCCTCCCTAACAGCAGATTTTGAAGAACAATTAGGACATTACAACTGTGAAAAGGCACTCAGACCTGCAGAACTGCTCAGTGGTATGTTTCCTAATCCTGAATAATTCAGCTCCTGTCAAACATCAAAAATAATAACGTGCAAGGATTTCATCTCCTTGTGATAGAAGAACTGCCCCTGCCAAAGTGTCAGATTCAGTGTAAGTGCTCTTCTGCACATTTTTTTTCTCTTGATACATATAGTGATACAGCTGTCGGAGTGCTGCAAGTTTTAACCTTTTGCCACAAGCTAGTGCTTAAACAGCATTTGATTCATCACACGGCAAACGAAGGAGACCCTTTAAACTGTGATTTACAAACCCTTCAATCTGACATTTTCGTATCTGAGAACCACGGATTCTGACAGACAAACGAGTCAACACAGCAGAACATGAGCCCATTTTGTCTTTACAGTGCTTCTTTGCTTCCAGTCGTCAGCTTTGGTTTAGTCTATTGTGTTTCTTCCTCTTACTTCTGAGTACTTTACTTTCATGAAACAGACAGTGAAAATATTTTTGTCTACTACCTTTTGGAGATCTAAATTTTATTTTAACAAATACAGCAGCAGGCCAATTCTGATTAGATTTTATCTCTAACCACTGGGAAACAAAATAAAGTTTGTACAGATAAAAGGGCCTAAACATAATGAGAGCATTGTATGCTTCTGCTGTTTCCATAAAACCCTCTCCTTCAGGGACATCTAAAATCTGTTTCCTTTTTGTTTTACAACTGCTTGTGCAAAGGCTTTGCTACCAAGAGGTCTGTCGGTGGCAAAACCCAGCCTCAGGCACATCGTGCTCACTGCTGGATTCCTGCGAGTCAGGTTGTGGTGCAGAGGCAACACTTGAAATGCTGGTGGACAACCTCTGTCAGATCATCTCTATCCAGCCCTATCCTGCAGAAAGTCGCAGGAGTTCTGGGCATACGTTCTCTGTGAGACACTCTGAGGTGAAGAGAAAGAGCAGGAAATGGCCTTCCCTTTAGCCTGAACTCAATGAGTGAACAAGGAATACACAGCACAAAAATTCAGCCCTATCTCCCAGTTCTTGATAATGTCTGCCTACACCAATGTCATCTCCAAAAATACTACTTGTAAGATCTAAACATTTATTATTTTTTGTTCAATTTAGTCTCCCAAACGCTTCTGAATAACCCAAATATTCATGACTGCTAAAATTTAACTTCACTTCGTAACTGCTGAGAAAATTGCAAACCTGCAGACTGGACTTTTGGACTCAGTGTCAGAGCATCTTTAACAATTTAGCAGCAATTCATTCAGTAGCTGCAGTTTGTTGTAGGTTCAAAAATACCCCTTCATAGCCAAAGCATTCCCCTCCATAGCAATTTTGCTTGCTTGGTTCTCTGCTTCTCGACCAAGGCAGCACAGCCACATCATGCCAATGCTCATCTCAGCTCCTGTCACCAAGCAAAATACAGTTCCAGGTCCGCAGACAGGATAGCCCTTCCTGGAGCAGGTCACTGCTTTCTGTCTATGATGGTACATTCCTTGAACATTTGAATCATAGAATCATAGAATCATTAAGGTTCATCCAGTCCAACCATCAGACCATCCCCACCATGCCCACTGACCATGTCCCTCATTGCCACATCCACACAGTTCTGGAACACCTCCAGGGATGGTGACCTCACCACCTCCTGCAGCCTGTGCCAGTGCAGCACCACTATTTTTGAGAAGAAATGTTTTCTAATAACCAACCTGAACCTCCCCTGGCACTACTTGAAGCCACTGCCTCTCATCTATTTGCATCCTCGTTGAGTAATGATGTTACTACCAATAGGAGGAAGTCCACAGGAATGGGACTTTAACCATACTCCTTACTCACATAAGAGACAGGAACCACTGCAGGCTTTGCGGGTAGAAACCAAAGACAAATTTCATTTCTTCAGCTCAGCATTCCTTAAATAGCTCTTTGGGAATATACAAACAGTCTCAAGCAATAGCATCCCATTGCCTATTCAAAAGTTTAGTTACAGGAGTTAGAGGAGAAGGAAGACAGACTTTTTGAGGCTGCTGTTCCTCTTGCTTGATTGTATGGAAGGGACCACGGTCCCAGCGCTGGGGACTGTCCATCCACAGCTGCTGCAGTGATGCTCCACTCCACAGCAGAGGTGGAGCATGGCTGAATGGGGTTCTTGCAGGAGGAGTCTGTGATGTGGATGTCCTACTGAGAAAACTGAAAACGAGCACAAAGCTAAACACAGCTTGGAGTTTCCTCCCTGAGGTCAGAATCAGCTTCCAAATTTTCAGTCGTGTGTTTTCGCTCAGCCCTGTGTGGACAGAGGAGTCATTTTTGTCGTGTTCCAAGACTCCCTAGAGAGGCCACAACTAAGCTACAACAGATTTTTACATTTCAGCAACAATATATTGTGGTCTTTTAAGGAAAAGAAAAAACAGTGTTGCTGTTCACAACTTGAGCTGCCACTGGAACAACATAGCAATGTCTTTTTCACGTCTTTGCTTGATAGCAGGACCGGTGTTCTCAAGGAAGATCAGACAGGTGGCACGTTGTGCTTATGAAGCTCACACAACGTCCATACTTGCTGCCTGCAACAAGCACTCCTTTACCAGCTTTGGTTGTGGTTTCTGCGGTCTCTTCTTACTGCCATTTTATGAGCCTTTTAGTGCAACACAAGCAGATGAAATTTGAGGCAAAATCCCAGATCAGGTTTTAGAAATATTTTGCTTGCAGCTCCAGAATCTGCTGCCCACTGTTAGCTGAGTGGACATCGTTTGCAGGGCTTACATTCTGTAACAACTTACAAAAATGATTATGGTGTTGAACTGATTTTTGCAGTGTTTTCCGTTTTCCACCTGAT